TCTAGATAAGGCAGAGGGGTTGGAGGGGAAGGGAGGGGACACGGGGTTATAAATGGTGGTGGAATGTGATGATCATTATTATCCAAAGTACAGGTATGAAGACACGAATTGGAGTGAATATACTTTGTATACAACCAGAGATATGAAAAATTGTGCTCTATATGTGTAATAAGAATTGTAATGCATTCTGCTATCATATATAAACTTTTTAAAATGTCCTTATAATTAGTCAAAAACTTACTATTGCAATATAATATTAAATTTTTAAAAAAAATAATAAATGAACAAGATTTTTTCTTTCTTAAAGATTAGTATCTAAATTTGTGCCCCCCATTTGCACTAATACAGGTTCAATCACATACATTGGTACTTCCATCTTTGTTGAGTTGATTCATAGAAACTAGATCATATAAAATGGCTGAGCAGACCCAGATAACCCTTGGAGAAAAGTAAATTTTGCTCATTTTTCACCAAGACATTAGTTGGAATAAAATTATAATTTTATATATAATAACTGACTGAGATCATCAAAGGAGAAGAAAAGTGAGAAGGAAGCAGATAGGGAGAAAAAGAGAAAGAGTGAAAGAAAAAAACTTTTGAGACTTTCTGGTGTGTCAAGTACCATGCTATGCACCTTAATGCACCCTTCCCATAATTCCTGAAGATAATTTTAATTTATAACTCATTGTTATAATTTCATGAACAAGATGAGATCAGACATTAGTTAACCTCACACTATGGACCTGTTAATATGAAAGTGTGGATTCTAGTATGCATAGGTGTTTATTCTTATAAAATAAAAGAGTATGCAAGTTATATATAGAAACTTGTAGATGGTAATTCAGCAGATAATGTGGAGATGAAAAAAACAGACTATTTGATCCTTCTTTTTTAATAAACATGTCCCCAGGAAAATCATTAAGATTCTCAAAGAGTGTTCCTCATACATCTGAATCCAAAGCCTCCTTGATACAATGGCTCACTCTCCTCTGACTCTCACAGTCTATATCCCTGATGTGAAAAAGAAACACCCAGAGCAGGAAAAGGGCATATTATACAAATTCAGATGGCACAGGTCCTAAACTCACGCCCAGAGTTCAAGAGTCCTCTGGATAATCTTTCATTGTATTGGAAACTGCCTTAGCATATGCCTTTCCTAACTGCTACTGGAAGGGGGAAGTGGTCTCATTACCACAGGCAAACTCAATGAAATGATTACTTAGAAATGGCTTAATGGAATTCACATGCACACACGTGTGTGCGTGCGCACACACACACACAATAAATTTACTGAAAACTCTCAAAGATGTATCAAGGAGTTGGTTACATTTCATGCATACAAAGAACCCACAAATCCTCTTCACTCTCAACTCTAACCACCTTGGATGTGATCTTCCAGCTCTCACTGCTTCAGCACACCCAAAATGTCTATGTGAATCTTGGGCACTCTACTTTCCTTCTGATCCCCTCTCTTCTCCCATCTCATCCTTTCTTCATTGATTTGTTCCATACCCTTTCTCAGGTAAACACTTTTAAACTCCCCAGGTTCCTTATTTTATGATCCCTACATTAAAAAATATCAAAGACCAAGCCCAACAGGCAAAACAAAATTCTCTTAAAAGCAGAGAAAATTGTTGTGAACATTAACTTGCATTTTGTTCCTGAGAATAGTTTGCATATAGTTTCATGTGTTTCACATACCCCCCTTAGCATCCTGGGCCCCAAATTTAGAACACCAGAAACTCATTTCTCAGCAACCAAGTTGCTTCTAAGGTGCTTAGAAGCAATCCCACTAGGACAGCAAGTCAGAGTATGAGGGGGCTGGGAGAAGACCAATATCCAGAGGACCAGGAAGAAACAACACAACCAAACCTGGACACAAAGGGTAGGAATCTGAGGTAAAAGGAATATAAAACTAAGGCCCCACATTAGGAATATGCAAGTAATAAACTGTCAAATACGATTTCTAAAATTTTTTGGAGACCAGCAATTCCTATCCACAGTTACAACCCTGGTCCATCTAGGCTGTCCTCACAACCGAACTCTCCAGTGTTATTGCACCAACAACAAACAGCAGTTGAACTCAATGTTTTCAGGGGGTACAGATAACCCTAACCTGCAGTAGAGGATAAGCCTAGAAAGGGTTCACTCCTCACCCCCACAAAATGAAAAGCTAAAATCAGAATTTTAAAAAAGACATTTGGGAAATTAATTGAAGAATGTTTTAGGGCCGAGGTTGCGGCTCAGAAGTAGAGTGCTCACCTAGCATGCATGAGGCACTGGGTTCCATCTTCAGCACCACATAAAAATAAAATAAAGGTATTGTGTCCACCTACAACTTAAAAAAGTGTTTAAAAAATGAATAATGATTTAAATACAGTAATGTAAGTTCTGTGGTCCAATCCCAAGGAGAAGTCCCTGTGGTCTTCTAATGCAAATGACAATCATTTTTCTCTCCTTTTAGGAGAATTTTGCTTTTCTGTTGTGCTTGCTTTGGTTAGTTTGGGCGAGGGGCAGATTAATGTGCATGGACTATGAAAAAAAAGACCCAAGAGAAATTAAAAATGTTTACTGGGAAGGTTGGAAATAAATTAGAGAAGAGAGAGCAGGAAAACCCATCCCATCCTGGGGAGGAGGCCACTGATACAGAAGGGCAGAGGAGGACCCTGGAGGAGGGAAGGCCAAGGAAACATCAGAGTCACTTATCTGAAACAGGGGGCCTTCCTCCAGGTTAAAAGGGATCACACAGTGGTGAGACCACAGCTAAAACAAGCCCAATCAGCATGAGTTATGGGGTAAAACTGCCCAACTTTTCACATGTGAAATATTTCTAGAGAATAATAACCACTCTTTAGGAAGTACTTGGTTCACTCCACTGCCCTGGCCTCCGCTCCATTCTAAAGATGAGACTACCCACAGGAGGACAGAAACCAGAAAGGAGATGGCCTCTTGCAGTATGCAGGGTCCACCAGGTGTTGTGGGAAATCCCCTGGACCACAGATCAAGCCAGTTGCTTTACAGGCCAACTTCTGCCACTGTCCCACTGCTTTCTCTCTGTCAGGAAAACATCTGCCTCAAAACTCATAAAAATCCATATTCTATCTGTCTTTATTCAGTTTTGCTGCTAAGGATAAAAATTATACTCTGTGTGAAAATATTTGAGAGAATAAAATATAAATCATTCCACAATTGTCAGAAGGCATATATATTATATACATATGCCAGGCTTTTACTGGCAATGATATATTTGGGAAAGGAGAAGGGATGTAGCCCGTGGTAGAAGGCTTGCAGAGCATGCCTGAAGCACCAGGGTCACAACTCAGGACCACAAATGAAAAAACAAAATTAAAAAAGATATTTGGGAAATTACCAAAAATGAAGAATGATTCAAAGACAGAAATGAGTTATGGGGTAAAACTGCCCAACTTTTCACATGTGAAATATTTCTAGAGAATAATAACCACTCTTTAGGAAGTACTTGGTTCACTCCACTACATTCCCACATGTGGTGAGTAGCCCACTTGAATTAGCACCTTTGGGAGTTGGAGAAAATATAATCCCTGGATGATGATTTGTTGGGAGATGAATAGAAAGCCACATTCCTAAAATTAATTACTCCCTTTACTTATATAGATCATTTAACAAATTTTTAGTATCTGCCTTTAAACTTCCAGGTGCAGACCAACAGCTAGATGCATTGAAGGCTAAAAATTGATATTCTCACATGAGACCCACGCAGGTGATGGTAATGTGGTTCCCACCAATGGAATAAGCTGGCTGCAAAATAAAAGATAAGAAAAATAAAACAATGAAACAAACCACAGGACACAGAAAATATTTTCAGAAATCAGGAGTGGGACAGGGCAGTCAATCATACAGATTGAGCTTCTATACTAAACATGCAAAATGGAGCCCATGCTTGCTTTTTTATATCAGGGAACATCAGAGGACTTCCATAGAATGTCCTACACCAAAAAAAGGTTATAGGTTGGCTGTCCAGTTCCCAATGGGTTACACCCAATTCCACAGCTACTATGAAGTATCTTTCTAGTAGAGAGTAAGGTTATTTGTCTTGGGCAATCTATTGCATGGTAGAGCCAGAGATAGTTTCCAAAGTTAAACCTAAAACCTCCCTGGCTGCCAAAACTAAAGAAGACCCTCAAGTAATTCATGGATGGCTTTTTGCACAATATAAGGTGGGCAAGCCAAGGTTGAAATAAGATGCAGAATACTAGACAGAAAAATGTCTGTCTGTATAGTATTCTGCATCTTATTACACACCCAAGTTTCCAAGCTGTAGGTAGGAAATAGCAGCCCAGATCTAGGAAAGCTCAGGGATCAGGGTTCTGATTTCCACTAGCTTCCAAATGAGCCTCCCAGGGATGGAGACCCACATGACTGTTCCTAGATAGAGACAGGAGAAGGGACACCAGGACACAGATAGAAAAAGGAAATCAGAGATACCCGGAAAGTCAGTTACCAGATAGATATGCAGTTTTCCTCTAATCTGAAAAAAGAAGAAATAGGGGAGCTAGGAACTAAAACATCTGCTACCAAGAAAACATACAAAATTCAGGAGGGAAAGCAGAACTTACTGAGATCTGCTTGGAGTTCATGTGAAAGAAAATGGAAAACAGCGTGAACCCCCATCTCCAAAAAAAAAAAAAGACTGTGTACCTAGAAAACAACAGAAAAACTTTTTTGTTTACTAGAATTTCTAACTACAAACCCACCCAATACCACCAGTCTCTAGCTGTCCTCTCTGATCTTCTCAGATACTTCCACGGGTCCCAGGATCTCCCTAGAGAGCTGGACCCCAGATTCTGGCCCCTGTCAGCTGTCCTTCACCACCAGGTCTGCACTTGCCTTGTGCGGTCTTACCAATGGCCTTCAGCACCTCTTCTTTGCCTGCTGTTCCTCCTCCTTAAGCCGCCACAGATGATCCTTTTCCTGACTCATCTGTATCCTTTTGGAAAGTGCTTTTCTGATAAAATAGCTACCCCCAAGAGTAGGAGCCCCAGCATGGTCAGGATCACAGCAAATGCTGGCTCCCAGGGAGAAGCCTGAGGGAAGAAGGGCTCTGTGGCCCAGGCAGACAGCAGGTCAGGGGCACACCCAGGAGAGCCAGCACACTCAGAGAGGCCAGCCCCTCCCCACAGCTCTGCTGGGAGTGGGAAGCAGCACTGACCTGGGATGTAAATAGCCATGGCCTTCTCCTGGCCCAGGACAGGGTTGAGGACAGAGCAGGTCACATTCCCCACAGAACTGTCTCTCACCACCAGAGTGGCCTCCACGCTAAATAGCTCCTCAGTGTCTTGGGTGTGAGCCTCAGAAAGCGCTGGGAACTTGTTTCCACTGAGGTCTCTCCACTGCACCTGGGGCTTTGGGAACCATCCTGAGGCTTTGCACACCATGCGCACTCCATCCTCTTCTGGCCCTTCTATGTGCATTTGGGGGTCAGAGCCCATCCCTCTGGGAAAGAAGCGATGGAGCCCCAGAAGGCCGCCTTGGGCCCTGAGACCCCAGAGTTGCCTACATGTTACACATCTAGAGGGGGAATTTTCATGTTGAATTCTGGGAGTTCTATGGGAAGATAGAAGAAAAGGAAGGAGTACAGGGACCCACAAAGGGCACTAGGCGCTTCTTCCCAATCATGAGGCCCAAAGGAAACAGGAAGAATTTGGTCCCAGGGCTCCCTCCTTGAATCTCCTCTCTTCTCACCTCACACACTCTCCTGGGACATCTTCCTCTCTGTGTGATCACCTTGTTTCCTGAATTCTCTTCCCCTACACCCATGTTTCCATGAGTTATCTTTACAAGGTTTCCTCACATACAATTCAAACTCAAAACTTCAGAACTGAATTCATAAATTTGCACCACTTGTAATAAAATGATTATTAAAATATCCCCAATTCCTCAACCTTCTTCAAAGCCAGTTCTCTCACTTCCACAAACTTTTTATTGCCTTTACATTCTGCCTCTGGGCCCAGTCAAGGGATTTGATTTACCCAATGAGAAATTAGCTAATGTGACTAGTGCAGATGTTTGAAAAGCCCTTGCATCTTGGTTTTACTCTCTGCCATTTCCATAGCAGGACATCCTGGGCTACTCAATGGAGGATGGACTCATGTGACATTGCCTGGTCAACCTACTACAGCTGCCCTAGGTCAGCCACATGACCACCTGAAGTGTCAGCACCCACAACCAAGATGCACCTGATGAACTTTTCTGTTGACTTAAAAACAAATAAAAATTACAAGTAAAAAGCTTAATTCTCCATGTTGAAAAAAAGAAGATGCTATTCCTTTTTCTTATACCATTTGCTTTAGGAACTTTCAATTACAGATCTGCACTTTCTCCTCTTTGGAAATGTTTATATATGATTTTGAAAACTGCTTAGGTTTATTGCAGATTTGTGGCTCAGGAATGCCTTTCTCAAGGACCTGGGAACCAATTCTTTGAAATGTAAAAATCAGGGAAGATAGAAACCCTTTACCTCCTTTTCTGTGGAAAGATAAGAGCCTAACTTATGTGGACATCTTGCTCCAAGTTGTAAAACTACTCCCTGTCATAAAGCTGGAGGAGTTTCTTTTGCTTCTTGATAAATCCTACTAGATGACACAGATGATCTCTAAAACTACCATGTAAATTTAGGATGAGTTATGTGAAACAAATACAGCTTTGAGCCCTCTTAGTTCAGGATTTGTTATTCTTCATCTTCAAAATAAGTATTCAGGAGATTATATATGCTTGGCTATTAAAAGAAAGATGAAATTCCTTTTT